TTAGACCCCCAATATTTCCCCAAAGCCCCTAAAAGCAAAGTAAAAAAGAAAAATATTTAATAAAAAAATAATCAATAAAAAATAAAATATAAAAAAATTATAAAAAAATAAAGTAAAAAATATTTTAAAATGTTAAAAAAATAAAATAAAAAACATTTTCAGTTTTGGCCCGACAATTTTTTTATTTCGGTTTTGAAATTTCCATGTCGGTGCACCTCTAAGTGTTATCATCCGTAACACCTAATGCCTTACATAGTCTTTTCCTTTCATCAATGTAACACATGTTCCGTACCCCTTGTAGGGCTCAGCAACATCATCGGCATCATCGTGTACATATCCAGCAATGCGGGGGATCCCAGCGACAAGAAAGATGAAGATAAGAAGAACCATTACAACTACGGCTGGTCGTTTTATTTCGGCGCCTTGTCCTTCATCGTGGCCGAGACTATAGGAGTGTTGGCTGTAAATATTTACATTGAAAGGAACAAAGAGATCAGGTTTAAGTTGAAAAGGGAATTCCTCAAAAGCTTATCCTCCCCGTACGCCAGGATGCCAAGCTACAGGTACCGCAGGAGGAGGTCGAGGTCCAGCTCCCGCTCCACCGAAGCTTCTCCTTCTCGGGAAGTGTCCCCGGTTGGAATTAAATATGCCACGACCATTCCGATGGGCGAGATCTCCATGTACACACTTTCTAGGGAACCTTTGAAAATCACCACAGCGGCCAGTTTCAACCCGGACCAAGACGGCAATTTCATGCAAGTGCACAACTGCTTCCAGAAAGAACTGAAGGGAGGGTTCAACATCAACGTAGTTAATCGAAGGACCACCCCGGTTTGATTATGGATTGCTGATCCCGAGAGGATTTTATATAGAAAAAAGGAAAGCCACAAAAGTGGACATTCATGGAAAAGACGACCACAATGGTGCCACCAAAACCCCGAAGCAGTGTTACATGAAAGTGCTGCCTAAGGAAAAAGAGTACAGGAAGGATGGATAAGCTCGCGCTCCACACGCCCCCTTCCCAGAAGACAGTTGCAGTGGATTTGTGTCCTCCTAACCAAACGTTTGTAGACTCTGTTCATTGTTCGTTCCTTCCATACAAAGTATAAAGCTGTGCACTTTTGGTTTCCTGCGTCAGGAAGAACGCAGGAGATTCTGCTGGACATTAAAACGTTTTGTAAAGAAGAGTGGATTTGCCCTGAACTGCTTTTGCCTGAATAAGCCATGTTGAATTTGTATTGCCAACCCTGTTTTATTGTTTTTGAAGCTCCAAAGCAAAAAAACTTACCACTATGGCCTCCGCTTATAACTGGTGGATGATAGAATGAAAATAACTAAACAGAGTGCACGGGAGTCGGGACACTCTGCTTGCTGCACCTATGACTGGTTAGGATGATCAGTGGTACACGCACAATGAGATGCACTGGAAAAAGGTAGTCAACATATATGACTGGAGAGACTCAAGTGTTGATCTGTCTGGGTGGCCCAAGACAGACACTGTGGATTTTATGTTCAGCTCACTTGATTTCCCCCCCTTCTCCCGGTCTTTGTAGGAAAAACGCACAGACTGACCAGGCACTGCCCTACATATCTGGATCCTGACTGTTTGGAACTATGACTGTTACCATGAACAATGCTAAAACAGAATATAGGGGCCAATCTAATGCATATGCTGCATAATCAACTTACTAAAAAAAAAATGATACAACTCTACATGAAAAACACCAAAATCAACAACTATGGATTCAAAATAATATTAGAGAAAAGTGATACAAAAACAAAATCAAGGATTTTACATACTTTCTTGATTGAGAAAAAGAATTCCAAAAGACCAAATAACTGTTACAATGATGTAGCTCTCCCCATTGCCATGGATCTCATTTGTCCCCTTTTGGCTCGTATTATCTCAATGGGGACAAATAATAAATACAAAAAAAAAAAAGGACGTATTCTGTATTGTGAAGGTTAGACTTAAATTATCAAAGAATCCGATTAGGAAATCTGAACACATATAGACGGATCCGGAAATCCTTCGTATCTATAACACCCTTTTCACGCGATGTTTACCAATTTTGTACTTTTTTCAAGACTGTTCTTACATGGTTACATAGTTAATCAGGTTGAAAAAAAAAAGACACATGTCCTTCGAGTTCAACCTAAGTTCTTTTCTAATTACACTATTGCTTCGAAACTGTGCCCGGGTTCCTATGTTATTATTGTTAGTTGCCTATGGAAACCGGGTCCGGTAATGGATAATATGGGTCAAAGAAGAATAGGATAATTATGCTTATTTATGGTGTCTGAGAAAGCTACAGGTCCACATTTATAACAGATCTGTAGTGCGTCCTCTACAGGTAGCTACCAAAACACAGGCTCTCCAATATATTGCGTCATTATGGGAATACCTTTCCATGATGGATGTCAAAAGTCTCACAGACAGTACCCATCATTTTCCTTGGTTGGGTATTCAACTTCAGTCCATTACAAAATGCTTATAACATTGGGACACCACCGTCCACCTGGGCATTTGTTTCAACAGATATGCCTTTGGAAGCCACCTTACTATCTCGCTCTAGGTCCCAGAGTCTAAGCCAGGGGTGCCCACATTTTTTTGTGTTATGATCTACTTTTCTAATGACAAGCTACATGAGATCTACCAACGGAAAAAAAAACCTCCCTCGCTCTCTCTCTCCTGGCCGTCTCTCCTCTCTCTCTCCTGGCTGTCTCTCCTCTCTCTCTCTTTCCTGACTGTCTCTCCTGGTTGTCTCTCCCCGCTGTCTCTCCTCTCTCTCTCCCGGCTGTCTCTCCTTGCTCTCTCTCCTGGCTGTCTCTCCTCTCTCTCTCCTGGCCGTCTCTCCTCTCTCTCTCCTGGCTGTCTCTCCTCGCTCGCTCTCCTGGCTGTCTCTCCTCTCGCTCTCCTGGCTGTCTCTCCTCTCGCTCTCCTTGCTCTCTCTCCTCGCTCTCTCTCCTGGCTCACCTTGCTGCATTTTGCAGACAGTGTAACAGGCTGTGTAAGCTAATATTCTTTGATGTAATACATAGCACTACAACCCCCAGTATCCCCCAGAACGGTGTCAGGGAGCTCGGCTCAGCAGACTCAGGCTAATAGGTAATCATGTGTGCACAGCGAGATAAATATACCAACATGGAATAAAGGGGCCGCCATTCCCCCCCCCCTTCCTGATCCACCAGCATCAGCTCTGAGAGCTACGATCACCATCAACCTGAGGGGCGCCCCTGGTCTAGGCCAACAAGCTACTGTTCAGCTGAACAATGCAAAGACATGAAAGCTACCATCCCAATTACCTCAGGAACTCCAAACTCTTGTTCCATCTTCCTACTGAGTCCTCTGTTGTGGTAGTTACCTGTGTCTTACTGTGATGTACAAGAATATGTACTAGAATCTTTGACTGTTCTGGTGTATAAATAGTTTAAACACCTCACATAATGACTTGACTGATTGAGATATGAAGTCCTAGCAGTGGACAACTCCCCAACCATCTCCTGCAACATCCCATTAATTAGTGCAATACTTTTACCAAGAACTGTAATAAGCTTGGTATTCCCCCCCCCCTTCCTGATCCACCAGCATCAGCTCTGAGAGCTACGATCACCATCTACCTGAGGGGCGCCCCTGGTCTAGGCCAACAAGCTACTGTTCAGCTGAACAATGCAAAGACATGAAAGCTACCATCCCAATTACCTCAGGAACTCCAAACTCTTGTTCCATCTTCCTACTGAGTCCTCTGTTGTGGTAGTTACCTGTGTCTTACTGTGATGTACAAGAATATGTACTAGAATCTTTGACTGTTCTGGTGTATAAATAGTTTAAACACCTCACATAATGACTTGACTGATTGAGATATGAAGTCCTAGCAGTGGACAACTCCCCAACCATCTCCTGCAACATCCCATTAATTAGTGCAATACTTTTACCAAGAACTGTAATAAGCTTGGTCACATCTGACATTCAGAAAACCAGCACCTGACTGGTTGGATCATACACCTCTTGGTTTTGCCTCATTCTAGTATTGGGTGGTACGTGAAACTAAAGCATATCGAAAAACGGCTAAAATCCAAACGTTCATGACAAAAAAAAAAAAAAAACCACGCAAAAGCCTTTTGTACGATTTTATGGTATTATTCCGCCGCTGTATAGAAGTCATTTTCTGAGACGCAAAATGTCAAATGAATATTGTGCTCGGCAGAGGAGCCTAAATTCTGATTCATTTCCTAGCTTTTGTAGCAATTTTGCAGAATTTGGATACAATGATCCCCTTAGATAAGACACGTTTGATAAGATCAAGCAAAACAAATGACAAACGCACTCAACAATTTGTCACCAACTATACAGCGCGGTGCACACGAAATGGGCTTTGGACAGTAGACAGCAGAAAGGCATCATGGCACACTCACAAGTCAGCATGTAAAACAACTTGTCTCACCACTAAGGTCAATAACAGAGGTTTGGATACACGTCTTCTGCAGAAAATGTGAAAGCCGCACAGCCGCGCCAAGGCACCTCTTATAGTGCGGTCCTAACTCTAAACTACGAGAGTCTCCATCTTGGAGCACATGGGGGCAGAAGATTTCAAATTGGGTGCAGGTTCCCCAGGAGGAAGCCTGGGGGTTCTCAGCTGCCATTGGGATGTGCGGGATCCCTTGTGTGTTTCTGTACCTTTAAGGAGGCTGGGCTTCCTCGTGACAAACCTGCACCCCATTTGAAATCTTCTGCCCCCATGTGCTCCAAGATGGAGACTCTCATAGTTTAGAGTTAGGACCGCACTATAAAGGCCGTGACACACTGCAGGCGAAGCAGCGCCGAGCGGGGGCGCGCTGCCTTTGCGAGCAGTGTGTCATGTAATTTTCTGCTCGGCACCTCAGCTTGCGAGAGCTCGCGGAGCTGAGCGTGCCGAGATGAACAATTTCAACTTCATCCAATCGGCTCGCGCGTATAAAACCGCC